AAGAGATTAAATGTCTACTGAATGATTAAAGCTTGAGTATCTAGACTGCTTACATTAGATGTGAATAGATTGTACATCCAGAGACTGTAGAAATTACATGGGAAAGAAATATAACTTAACAGTAATTGTAGATTTATATGTGTGGTGGAATGTCCATAACCTATACATTTTTTAGAATAAATGATTTTTGTGTTTTTTTTATCAAGTACAAATATATTTATCTATGTCTTTACAATAAATTTTAACTGGTCAAATTAAAATATCAAAAGAAAGATTTTATTGTAGCACAGGATAAAATAATTTTTTAAAGAATAATATAAATTGTAATTTTACTGATTTCTGTAATTTTTGAAGACTTACTGATAATATGTCATTATATTTTCTTTAGATATAAGATTTTTATATGATAGGAAGCATAGATAACTTTATAATGTTCAAGCTGTCCTTTTTTATACTTTTTTTTTATTCTATCTATGGAATGTAAAAGAAATTGGTGGCTTATAAGTATGTATTTGTATTTTATGTGTTATTAAAATATTTTATGCACATACAATCAAAATGTGCATTCCATGAAACAAGAACTGTAGGACCTTGTAAACAAAGAATAGATACAAATTAATATCTGAAAATATAAACAGAAAAAATACAACATAATACCTCAGTATGTAAACAGAATAGATACAAAATAATACCTCAAAATATAAACTATTCAGTTTACATACTGAGGTATTATTTTGTATCTATTCTGTTTACATACTGAGATATTTTGTATTTTTTCTGTTTATATTTTCAGGTATTATTTTGTGTCTATTCTGTTTACATACTGAGGTATTATTTTGTATTTTTTCTGTTTATATTTTGAGGTATTATTTTGTATCTATTCTGTTTACACAATGAGGTAATATTTTGCATTTTTTCTGTTTAAATTTTGAGGTATTATTTTGTATTTTTTCTGTTTCTTTTTTGAGGTATTATTTTGTATCTATTTGTTTACATACTGAGGTATTATTTTGTATATTTCTGTTTATATTTTGGGGTATTATTTTGTATCTATTCTGTTTACATACTGAGGTATTATTTTGTATTTTTTTCTGTTTATGTTTTGAGGTATTTTGTATTTATTCTGTTTACATATTAAGATATTACTTTGTATTTTTTCCGTTTATATTTTCAGGTATTATTTTGTACCTATTCTATTTACATTCTGAGATGTTTTGTATTTTTTCTGATACAAAATAATACCTCATTATGTAAACAGAATAGATACAAAATAATACCTCAAAATATAAACAGAAAAAATAAAACGTCGGTATGTAAGCAGAATAGATACAGAATAATACCTCAAAATATAAACAGAAGAGATAAAAAATAATACCTCAAATCATAGAACAGCTATAAGAATGAATAATAATTTATTTTTTACATAACAGCTCTTCTGTCAGAAAGCCCTGAAATCCTTGAGCCATTTTTCTTGGGTTGTGATACCAGAAACCCAAAAATTGTTCAGATTTGTTTGACAGCTATCCAGAGGCTGATTACCCATGAAGCTGTTTCTTCAGTAAGAAAAGCTCTCTAATTGCTGTATTCTTGTTTTTACAAGTTTGGTTAAAAGGGATCGTTTTTGAAATAGAATTTTGATAACTTCATCTTAATGGAAATTAATGTACAACTTTTGTTTCATCAGCTTAGCCTAATTAAAATTATTGTAGAAGCCTTATTATATTAGTTTAGCCTAATGATAATTGTTGTGGAATCTTTGTTACTTTAGTTTAAGTTAATGGAAAACGTAATGGAATCTGTTACTTTAGTTTAAGTTAATGAAAATTGTTGTGGAATCTTTGTTACTTTAGTTTAAGTTAATGGAAAATGTTATGGAATCTGTTACTTTAGCTTAAGTTAATGGAAAATGTTGTTGAATATTTGTTACTTTAGTTTAAGTTAATGAAAATTGTTGAATCTTTGTTACTTTAGTTTAAGTTAATGAAAATTGTTGTTGAATATTTGTTACTTTAGTTTAAGTTAATGAAAATTGTTATAGAATATGTTACTTTAGTTTAAGTTAATGAAAATTGTTGTTGAATCTTTGTTACTTTAGTTTAAGTTAATGAAAATTGTTATGGAATCTGTTACTTTAGTTTAAGTTAATGAAAATTGTTATAGAATCTGTTACTTTAGTTTAAGTTAATGGAAAATGTTGTTGAATCTTTGTTACTTTAGTTTAAGTTAATGAAAATTGTTATGGAATCTGTTACTTTAGTTTAAGTTAATGAAAATTGTTA